CCCCCCCCCCCCCCAAAAAAAAAAAAAAAAAAAAACATTTAGAGAGATGAGGCTGTCGCTTCGAAAAAATAATTAAGGATTTTCTTCGGTATATGCATTTCTTAAAGACTTCTTACTAACGACCTCTTAAGTCATCTCATGCACTAAATCACTGATTTCTAATTTTAACGGCTAGAAAGATGTATGTTCTTTGGCTGACCAAGAGGTAAATGAAGAATGACAGTTGAGAATGAATATGAAACTTCCAGAGTCCTAGGTCTGCGACTGCCAAAGCAACAACTAACTGTTACACCACAGTTCATTGGGAGACCTAAGTGCTGTTAAACAACACAAGAGTTAAAGCAACAGTTTACTACTAAACCCAGAACGTTAGGAAAAGGTACCTAGAAAAGCCAAAAATTATTACAAATCGAGATTCGCGAACCATAAGAAAATGAAGATAGGCTATTAAAAAAATAACGTATGCGAAAAGACCTGCTTAAGCGTAACATTATCGCAGTTTTCTTCATCCTTGTATGCACTACTTCTACTGAAATGTTTGTGCAATAATAAGGCAAACTACTCTTTTTTTTTTCACTCATTTCATGTAACTATTAAGACCCCCAATAACTCGTACCTCTCTCATTTTATTTACTATATCTTCCAAGACCAAACGTGTGAACTTTACAGATAATGCAGTCTTTTCACTTTAAAAACCTTTGAAGCTCCTGAAGCTGAAGCAACTTCATCCAAACCCCAATGAATTTCCTTTGTATGCCAAGTTAATAATGTATTGTCATTACCATTACTATTATTGCTATAATCAATATTTCTATTATTAATGTCGTTAAAATTACTGTGACAGTTAACGTTGCTTTCTTTTAAAAAATACTTGACTTCTTTCCTTCGCGTTGTCTTAGTTCCTTTGAAAGAGGAAATGAGCTGTTTCAGTTTCCTTTATTTAAAGAAATCTTCAGCTTAATCTCACTTCAGAAAAAAACCGAATAAAAATTCGCCTTAAAATAGTCAAATCTTCTTTCATAACGGTTCTGTATGATTGATGGCTATCTACTGTAAAAAGCTTACAATGCTAAGAAGAATTAAGAATGTGCAACTGACATCCAACAAGGCTTCTGAAGCTGCAAAACTAGGAAATACTACGAGCGAAAACAATCCGCGGAAAAACGGAAAAAATCATTAAGAAAGCTACCACTGTAGTAGAATGAAACCTTTCTTTTCTCCCCGCTTCTAACTCCAACACATTTCTTTGCGCCTTCACAGAAAGTCTTTAAAAAAAAATTACTTTCTCAACCCAATCAGTGCCTTTAACTACAATAATATTGGTGGAAATAAGAACATTACCCTGCTGTTTCCAAATAATCTGCACCCCATAACAATTTGAAAATGGACTAAACATAGTCCTTTGGACTAAACATAGCATAACTTATGCGTCATTTATGTTTTTCATTAGAAGAACCAAGTGTTCTCACTAAAATGAATGATTTTTTAAAGAGCAGATCCAAGCTTCCAAACTTTCAAACCCGCCATTTTCACCTAATACCACTAAAAACTGCAGAGGAAAGCCAATTACTTACTTTAAGAACGGCCCACAAAAACTTCTATTTTAAAATATCCAAAGAGGAATATCTGGTACAGCTCGACTCCTTACACTTGTATAATTTATTTTGCAGTGGGAATGGAGAGCATAGTTAGAGGGAAGAACAGGAACAGGATAAAATCTCTAAAACAATTTGTAATAAGCCGTTTTCTCTCATCATGCAGCCAGAAATTTCGATTTGAAAAGGCACAACCTACATTTAAAATGCCTGATGATCGATAAGACTTAAAGCCTGAATGTGTGGCAAACATTTTTAAACGACCTATCCTAGCAGAAAAACTTGATTGAACTCTCCAAATCGTTTAAAAGAAAACTCGTAAAACACTCAAGAGATTGAATTCTAGCAGAATAATTTCATAAACAAGAAATATAAGCCTCTGTGGCTGGATAAAAATGAGCTGAAAAAGTTGACTCCATTCAAAAGAGTACAAGAAACCAGTAACTTTAATACATCAATAGTGCACATAAAATTAAAATTATCCTATTTGGAGAAACATTGTAAGAACAAGCTGGCTCCCTATGATGCCTTAAAGCAAACAAAGTTTGGTGTAACTTCTGATATCTAAAGCTAATAAGTAAGGAAGACTGAAAAAAACCAAAAATCCTCTCCAAAGTTGCTCATCAAGAAAACCCTCGCTCCAAAAATTTGTGGAAAGTAGCTCATCCTCTCCATTTACTCAATAAGCAGAGGAAGGCGAGGAGCTAGAAAAAGGAACAGCTGGAATCTAAAGAGAATCGTCCAGCCTCAATTAAACACAGTTTACTGTTCTTCTTTCTCACAAGGCTTAAAAATAATTGTGAAAAAAGCAGTCTCTACTTCAATCGTTTATAATTATAAAAAATTCCTGAACGCAACATTCCACAATATAAGCAACAATTATTCTGATACGTGAGCCAAATGTTAAGCAGTTTTTGCTACTCTTTGTTTTCCCACTTTATTGCAACCTAGATCCTTCTGCATTTTAGAATCATCTATTATCAGCTCTATAGCCTCCACCCATCCCCCAAAAAACTTCCTGCATTCCTAAAAACCACACCTCAGAGTAACCCTTTTTAAGTGACGTCACCTTCCTTCTCAAACTCCGCTTGTTCTATAATCATGATTTTTTGGTAATAAAAGAATTTATATTTTTCAACAGAATGCGGCTCGCAGAATCTGATCCTTCACTAACTGCACTATTAAGTTGTAACATTTTTTCTGAAGAAGCGAAAATTTTGATTTTGCGACCAAAATCTGCAAAAATTTTCCATAGAAATCACGTCGCTTAATCATCGACTGTAACGGTTTAAATTTCTGTTCAAAATAAACATTTGCCTGCTTGTGGTGTTACAGTGAGCAAATACTAAAAAACAAATTTCCGGCAAAATAACGGCAAAAATGGCGATTCCAAATCCACTTATTCGCCTATATTTTTAACAACCACTGAATATAAATGAAATTGTGTTAAAAAAGACTAAGGTCAAAACCTTCACTGATGAAGCTTCAACGTTTTCCACATCTTCATCCGTAGTATATCCATCACATTGATCCATACAATGAACTCCGACCAACAAACTGT